GGACAGAGGGGCTTTAACTATAATTTTTTCAGTAAATCACTATTACATGTACAGGGCGTTTCAAATTCGAGCGACATCATTGGGATCTCGGGAAGGGTGAGAGATATACAGGGTTGGTTAAATCGGGACAAAGTTGCGTAATTTGATGCTTAACAAAATGCCGCTTTGATATTTAGGATATTCCGAATACTTCCAGAGATATCCGGAAAAAAACGAAATTTTGCAAAATAGTTTTTATTTTTGCTTGACTTTATTTGAAAAGATATTCAAAAAAAAATGTCACTTCATTATAGCCACTTTTTTCCCCTACAGGATGCTAGCATCAAATTTGAAATCTGTCATTTCGTCTTTGAGCCACCATCATCAATTTCATTTTCTAATATAGCAGCAAAGCAAATCAGGTGTTTATATTGGTTGATGATTCTATAAGTAACGCAAAAAAAAGTAGGTAGGTATAGAGGAATCCGTTGTGGGGAAAGCTTCTAGGAGTGAGAAGTCATTTGTCGTATAAATGATTCCTCTCAAGCCGTTTTTGAGCTATAGAAATTTCATGACACCTATTATCCGTTCACAATCCGATGTCCACAGGTACAGGTAAAATTTATCACCTTTCAATGCTATTTGATAGAGAAAGGTGATAAATTTACCTGCACCTGTGGACATTGGATTGTGAACAGGATATACCAACCAGAATAATTTGCATTTAATAGTTGCATTATTAAGAAGTATCAGCATTATTTTTAAATGTTTTTCCATCAGATGACCAGAAGCAAATTATCCAAAAATGTTTGAAAAATTATACTACCTATTTGTGATTTTATATCATTCGAGACAGACAGAGAAGAGAATTTTGGTAGGAAATTACTAAAAATTAAAAAAAAAATATTTTTTCGAATAATGTTCCCAAATCCTTTTCAATGCTTTCCAATTACAACGCCAACGACAGTACATGTACCGTTGGCGTTGGTCTCCGTTGGAAATTCGGTCTGTACGCGACTTTAAATTATCGACCTCGACACGTGCTTGCATCACATTTAGATTATGAGATCTCTCTATAATATGTTGAGCTGCCTGAGCAGTAGCACCTTCCATGTGTATCATAGGATGGTATTTGTTAAAAATTGCGCCAGCTATCCTATAAAAATCGATTTTTGGCGTGCTGCAAGTTGAGTGTTCTAGTAAAGAACTTAAGTACTGATCGAAATTGTTCATTCCTGCTTTCAACTAGGTATCCATCGATTTTTGGTAACAATACGTGCAGAATTAGCATCTTCGGTATAGAGTTCGGTAGAAAGTTGACGCTGCTCAGGTAAAAGCATCGCCGGCATTTCATACTGAATGCCGAGCATTTCTAGAAGTTGTCTGGCATCACAATAACCTCTATCTACCAATACAATGTCACCATCTTGAAACCAATCTCTGAATGCGTTTCCGTCTCTTTCAAAATTATGCCTAAGTATTTCTGCATCGTTCTTACGTCAATCAAAGAAATATGGTCAAAATATATCTAAAATAAAGCCATCAGGGGCAACGACCAGTGTAGGATTAAGACAGCGTCTATGCTTATGAACCGAGTTAGGATTGACGCAAAACACGAAAATTAGAGCTTATATCTATGTAGGAATATGTCGAATCAATTATAATAATAGGCTTTGGTTCGTTCGGTTGACGATTGTACAAAATGTTGGAAAATTCTGTTACGTCTCGAGCAATAAAATCTTGCCTAGTTATTGCCTTGGGCCTAATATTTTCAGAAACAAATCTTTGAGCCAACGATATTCTCACGTAATCTATAACTGAACTTACTGTTTGTCTGTTCTCATATTCAAAAATAATTTTCAAAAATTTATCACTTAGCCCTTATCGAAGTCTGCACAAAAATATGAGCAAATCTTTTTTGCTTATATATCGTAGTTTATCATTTGAAGTACAGGGTTACCATGGGTAAGCACATCCTCAAATTGCTCTTTTATTATCGGAATAATACATTGAAATTCTCCATTAGTCAAACTATTATCATCTAACCTTGGTTTATTGGCAACCACATCTTCCACCTTTAGTGGCAGATGGTCTGTTAATATAGCGTAAACTCAGGTAATAAAATAGTTAGGAATAATGCATTTGCATCTAAATGATGTGCACAGGATCTAACATTTTCAGGAACAAAAATTTTCTTTTGAACGAAAACATTTACTCTGCAATTTAAAGATAGCCTATGCAAATCATTTTCACCATGATAAATGACACATCTGCGGTTTGCCGTATGTGCTAATCTGAGACATGTGGAATCTGCTTCTGTTACAACAGTTTCATTAGTAATAGATATATTACAGGTTGGTGCACAAAACGGATTGGTCATCGACTTGTAAAGGTATGGCTGATTTAATCCGCCACGTCGTGTTATAGCTATTTGACGTTTTAAAATGTTATTATTTTCATCACCATTAACCCTAACAATATTTCTTGCGTGGCATGGTACCTACATCACTTGTATAACAATGTATTCATGGAGGTCTTCCAGCCATCTTCTTCTAAAAGTTGCCAGTAGATAAAGCACAATGAATAAATACAACACTATACTAATCACTAAGTTTGGCACTGTTAGAAATTATTTTTGACACATTTACAATAAGTTATGGTTGCTATGTTAACAAAGAGGACTTACGTCCATTGTGAACCTCCTGAATTGGTCTCTTCTATCAACCTCAACACACTTTAAATATTTTATTTTCTACTAAACTATTTGTTGCAATTTCATTTTTAAATCAGAAACAGCAACAGCCGGTTATATGAAATCTTTGAATCTCTCCCTTCGTTCATCTTCAAAGGCAGGAATTATACCTTATTAAAAATAGGATAGTTTTAGGTTAATTAGTACTAGTGTTCAGTAGAAAATTAGAAATAGATCAGAGTGGCCAGTTTAGTCAAGTTTTTGTTAATTTTACTACCTGTTATTGCCATTGTAATAGAATTGTCATAAATGTATAATTTTTTGAAACTGGCTTGAAACGCTTGAATCCAAATAGAGCATTAACTGACATTTTTGGGCTTTTATTCGTCAGTTGGTCCTTCGGAAGTATTTTAGAAGCAAGTTGGGACTAGGAAAGCAGAGAAAACTCATTGTTGGCCATCATACAGTCCTAATTATCGATTGTCCCAACACTATTATTGATTCATAATATCTTGGAAACAAAATAAGATATTATACCCATACAACCAAGGGCGTTATGATATATAACTACCTCTTATAATGCCCGGCGGTTGTTATGGGTACCTAAATAATGAGGTGAATAGGTACAGGTAGTGAAGGTACATGTTTGATACTAAATTGATGAAGGAACATTATATTCAGTAGAAAATAAAGCGTTGGTATGCACCATTCGAAGAAAATTAACCCACTCGCTAGGGCTCGTGGGTTAAACTTTCTTCTCATGGGTAAACATTCATTTAATTCACTTGGTGTATAAATAACTATTATAATGTTATGTTATAACTATTTTTAACCCCTCTTACACGTTAAGCGCCATGGCGGTCAGTGGTGACCGATCGATGTAGTTCCTGGTGGGCCACGGCGGTTACCAATGACCAACTATCGCTGCCAGATTTTCAAAGTTCTCTAGACCTGATGCCCGATAGTATGTTAAATTATATAGAACAGCCTGCCCGCTGTGGCCCATACGGAACTTCTTCATAAGTCAGGCTTTTGATTTTAGTGGCCCTGTGGGAAACAGACGAAAAATAAAATGGTGCCCCTTTATTTTACATTTTCTGGCTCACTAGAGCTGACAGAATCATCAAAATAATCAGAATCATCACTTGCAATATATTCTGGATCATCCAGGGAGTCAGAACCGAACCAAATGGTTTTGAATCGGAGTCTTCTTGCACTCTGTTCCAACCGACATGAAAACCATTCTAGAACAGTGATTTCCAGTCGATCAATTCATTTGTCAAGTAGGATAAACATTCAACTTCTCGAGAAATAAGTGGGCAACTAGAAATTACTGGTTCTAGAACGGTTCTCGTGTCGGTTGGAACAGGGCTTGGGTCTTGCTCACTCGGTATAAACTGATTTGCCATTCGAATAATACATTTGGTACGTTCACTCGTATATTTTTCAGGCATTGTGATAGAGCCACAAATCCTAATGAAAATACGTGTTTTGCCTGAGAATGAACAATCTGTCAGTTGAACTAAAAAGGCGGGAACTTGCGACCTAGCGCCATGCCACAAACATGACCGATATCGTGACCGATAACTAGAATTGCAATGAATCTTCCTATAGGGCCACGGCGGTCACTAGTGACCGCCTTAAATTTTTCTCCAAAAATATGCTAAATAATAAAAAAAACATATAAATATAGTTACTTGTACATAATATAAGCGGAATAAAGTAAAATAACAAAATTGAAAATAATGGCCACTTGGACAAGTTCTGCTGTAGCGCTTAATGGGTTAAGACGTCTATGGTTTAAAAGTGGCGATTTCTGGAATCGTATAATTCAAAACGTATCATACTACAATGATACTATGATGTTCTAAAATTCACGAAGTAACAGAAAAAAATAGACTGTATACAGTTTGAGCAATTTCACATATGACGCAACTTCAATCGACTGTAACTGAAAAAGGCGAATTTTTAGAACTTTGTGCCCATGGACTATGGACACTTTTAATCTATAGGTCAAGAGCTATCAATATGCAAAATTTCATGAGATACCACTGAGGGCCAGTGTTCTCATAAGGTTTCTACGGGGTCCTTTAATTAGTTAGGATTTTTGGGAAAAATTTATTTCAAACTGATTTACGTCCATTACTCCAGTTACCTTTACCTAGTAATATTATTATCTAAAGTAAAATTTCGATAGAAAAAAAAAAATTGAATATTTTTAAGTATGGATAGTTTTTTATTCATAGTTACTTTTAAAAAATGAGTCATATTAGTCCACGCAACCCATAAAAAATATTATGTTCCATTACGAAGATAAACCCCTGATAACTTTTAACAACCTCATTATAATAATAAAAAATAGATGGAAAATAATACAGCAAGGAGCAGATAACAAATAGGTGGGTAGCTTATATTGGACTTATTGTTAGTTGGTATAATCAGTCCCGACGTTATTGCTAAATATTAACGATTATTACAAACATGGGTAGAACCGTATTATTTGGTATTGTTGCAGTGATGGCTTTAGCTCAGGTAAGTTTTAGTTTTCAAAAAATCCGTACATTAAAATGCTGAATTAACTTAATAACGGTGACAATCGAGAATTTTCTACGAAAGTTGAAGATATATTTCTTGCATTGTGGAAATTAGGGCCGCCTGTTTTGTGGTGTGGTAAATATGAATATTGCATCGCACTCATTCTTCGCGAAAAGAATACTTTCACAGGAACTGCAATTATTTCCGAAGGCTGGGTAACTTCCCTTCGCGCTGGTGATTTGATTCCTCGTCCATATTCTTTGTATTTGTGACAAATGATTCAGAAATAATTGTACTCAGTCGTCTTTGAACTTTGCATTAAACTTCTAACAGCCTTACTACCATAATTGAAGAGATTAGAAGTGTTTTGCCACTTAATTTTTCACGGCTTATTTTTTATTTTGCTTGTAAGTAAATACGTAGGTACGTGAATTGGATTATTGCTTGTAAAAACAGAAGAATTTTTATTTAATTGTTTTAATTCATCTTTCTTCACATGCGTAACGGCGAAATAATTGAAGAAGGGACGACATGAAGTTAGGTGCTAGCCGTTTTTATTATCGGCATAACATCGGTCGATATAATAATATCACGCTCAGCCGTTGTAAATAGGTGTATGTCAAGGGGCCGTAAAGTTTGGCAAGAGCGTCACCAAGTTTTGAAGTCAAAAAAAAAAAAAATGGTCGTCGATCCAATAGTTCAACCAGCAGGTTCAATGTGGAAAAGTTTCAATTTAATAAAGTTAAAGGGGTTGTGACCCAAGAATGAAAGTTTTAGTGCAAAAAAATCTAAGAATAAATATTTAAACCGCATGTTGCTACGATGGTCCGTTTTCGAGTTAGGGCCGTTTAAAGTTACAACTAGGCTTTTGTGACGTCACGCTGGATTATCAGGGACAGTATTAACACGTGTAAAAATCTTCCAAAACAAAAAACAATTATCTCTTAGAGCAAATTGTAACCGCTCAAAGTATAGGGTACGGTTCACTGACGACTAAACGAACAGAAGACAGCGATTTCGGCAGTTGTGACATCACAAATTCCTGCATAATTTATCTTCACAAGGCGTTTTCTCGTAAACTATTTTGAATATAGGACTGCGGTTTTCACGAGAGATCTTAGAATTTTTTTCTTGATTTAAGTAGCTTAAGTCGTTGTTTTGGGTCACACCCCCTTTAATAGTTAATAGTCATAGGTACCATAAATGAAAACGAAAAACTGTCTTAAACTCATAGAATGAAATAAGTTATTAAAGCTTCAGATTCAAGTAACTCAGATGTAGCACTCTATACCTAACGGTAAACTTACAACTGAGTTCGACGTCTTGCTCAGTGTTCTTGTCGAACACCTGCATAGCTCACAATAGACAGGGCCGAACTCAATCATAAGTTTACCGTTCTGGTCTGACGCCGTAATTCATATATCAAACATTTCTCTAATATTTTTAGATCTACAATGCGAATGCACAGGAACAGCCACAACCACAACCACAACCAGTATCTGACGATTGCAAACAAAAAATATTCGAACAGCTTAAAAATACCGACCTGTCTGCATATAAAGATTGTTTCAACATGACCTCTTTGCAGGACCTCAAAGGCAACTCGCAAATTCTGAGTCAATTATTCACTAGTTTACCAGACGGCTGTAAAAATCCGATGTCCAGCAATATAAAAGATTGCGTCAAGAGTTGGTTCTCGAACTTTAAAAATCATTCAGCTGAGGTAAGATTTTTTCAGGGTTTGATGATGCTATGAAAATGTATTTGTTGTCCAGGTTCAAGCAAGTATTGCCGGTAGCATTAACACCGTATTTGCTGCGTCTAAGGGTTGCATCAGCCAAGCAGCTCAGCAACTTTCTGATTTGAATATTTTTGTGACTAACGGATGTCAACAAGAATAGGAAAAAATCATAATATTATATTGTAATCAGTTGGTATTTAAATAAAGCTAATGTTTCAATAATGATGTTTTTTGGAAACCAAATTAAACTTATGGGAGAATTTTACGACCACTTTAACTTACTTCTCGAAACTAACGGGGTCTAATAGAGCCCCTAAAAACAGGTTCGCAAAGCGTAAACTCGCATTTAGGACATTAAAGTTCTTTTGAACTTGAAGTATTAGAGAGTTTTATTTTGTGCAGAAAGTAGTGTGAAAAAGTTTAGCCTCAGGTATGGAATTTTAAATAAGCAGCCAATTTTTTATATGTCGTATAAATTTAGCACCCGTGAGACTTTGACAATATTGTTATAAATTGCTCGAGTTGCACAAACTCGCAACACTAGGTGGGCGATTATACACAACAAGAATCTCGAAATTAAATGGTATTTTTGATTTACGACTTTATTTGTCGTAGAAATTGCACGCCTGATGGGAAAATAGAAAAGCATAAAATCAATTCTAATAAATTTGAAATTGGATTTGTTTAATGTTTGTTATGACGTGAAATGACTATATAAATATGGGTGGTCTAAATGGAATTCATCGGAAAATTTGCTCTCAGGTGAATAAAGAATGAAAGGATAAGTATTCAACAATGTAAAAAGGGCTTAAATGAAAAATGTATCTTGCATATCAAACAAGGCAGGCCTGCACTTCGCGTTCTATCTTCTCATAATCTAAATGGAAAGTAAGTATAATAATATTTTGAAGCAACTTCCTTAATAGCGTACTTATTTAATAAAAAAGCAAAATTTATGAAAGTTTAGATATTATTTTGATGTAGGTTTATTTTAACCAGCTTATTATTATTCATGAATTTCAATGAAAACTGTTTTTAACTAATTTTTCCTCACAGTGAAGTAGAAAATTGGCGATTTTTGTGGAAAGTTGTCGGCGCGAAGAAATACCTATTTAAAAATGCTAAAAATATTAACTTTCGAAAGGAGATACTTTTAAAGTTAAGCACTCTTATTGAATTATACGTAATCACTTGTCAGATATTGCAAACAAACAAAATGTATTCTACTTTAAGGCTTGAGGAACTTATAATGGCACTGTGAACATGTAGGTATGCTAATATTGATATGAGGAGAAATAATAACTTTAGTTTGCTCTGTCTAATAAAATATTCTATTATCGTTAAAAGAATTACAAAGCCTTACTGATAGGAATACATTGGGGATTAAAATCGGTAATGAATCGAAAGCTTTTAGTTTTAAAGCTCGTGTGTTATGTTTTTATTATCAGGACATACCTACCTACTTGAATACTTACTGAATAATGATACATGGTTTACAAATATCAAAAACATTACTACAAATAAGTATCAAGTCCAAAACCCTTTTTGTATAAAAAGATAACCTGCTTTCAAGGAGAAAAGAATTAAATTATATATACTTACTGTATCAACTTGTTGGATTTTATATTTATGCCAGGACCGAAACCATTTTCTACACCACGACCTCATTTTTGAACAGAGCAATAGCACTACAAAATAATTTGGCAATTATTTTCATTTTTCACTACGATTTTGATGTAAATATTGTTTATTATTTTGGAAAAAAATTGCAGGCAGCGTTCGCATTGTTTTATCAAACGACCGGGTGTTATCTACTGATTTAATTTTTTATTTTACGATATCGCGTGTAAGCTAGAATGATAGATATTATCAGATAAAAATGTGATTTATACCTGCCACATAAATAAATGGTCGATAACGATTTCACAATTTCGCCACGATTAGGAAGAAAAATTCAATTAATAAATAACCACTTATTGGCAAAAATGTCAACGAAACTGTTTTCTGGTTAAATATTACGATTCGGCAGTTTTACGAGCTGTGAAGAGATATTTTTGCCTTAACAATTTTCGATTGAAGAATGGCGACCAACGACCGATACATGAATGAATGGTTATTCATTACTCATTAGCAAAAGGCAATCAGTCAACTAGAGAACATCAGTCAGCTGGTACCGAGCCTGCTGAATTCTTCAAACACACACAATGTGACTAAATCCACATCCTAATAAGTGAAATATGGATGACCATACCTACCAGCCGAATTTATAGCGAATTCCATTGGCAAAAACAGTGTCGCACCAGTGCGGCATTAACACCCTTTTGGCCAATTTGAAACTTGCACCTTGAGATTGGATTTGTTATTGTTATTAAAATTTTAAAATTTAGGTTATGGTTATTGCTTTTTCATTTTTTTTTAAGAATTTTTATTTCTTTGAGTTTGGATTATTGAACACGAAAATTGAATGTTTTTGCCCTTGCAATCGGTTTTTACCAAAAAAGTTATGGAAGATAGAAGAGATGACAGCAACAACATTTTTTCTCGCATTTTTTATTCTGTCATGTTTTAATGGTCGCGAACCAGCAAATATGCAAATAAAAATAATTTAAAGGTAAGAGAAATGGGAGAAAAATTATAAAAACTCTAAATGAAAATGAAGGAATTTGGTTATCAATATGGCCAAATGTATCAAAACAACAAAAATGTCAAAATGCACCGGTGCCGCACGACCTCTAGAAGCTATAGTGCGGAACGGATTGCACTCGGGGCAAAAAGTGCCGAATCAGTTTCTCAATGGGATTCAAAAACTTGAAATAGTCAATGGTTGACGAATATTGCCGCACGAGTTTGGAATTCGCTATTGTGTAGCCTATTTTTTTGAATTTGCTGCCACTCTTCTGCTTTTGGCAAGTTTGACAGAGATCAATCGAGCGACATCGCGACTGGTTGACAGTTGATGTACCGGTGACACAACACAGCAAACTCCGACGGTGCGCGATCCGCAATCCATATGTTTGTAAGCGAATTTTCAATAAAGTAATTTAAAATGTTTGTTTCGGTTTTTTTTTTTTTAATATTTATACCGCCCAACCCGCAGAAAAGAGCTCCTTCACAAGGCTCAATGTGGAAACTACAGAGAAATATCTTTAGTTTCTGTTGCGGGAAAGATACTTGCCAGGATATCATCAAATCGTCTAATCGAAACTGCCAAACAGTGTTGGTATTTCGATGTAGAGCACACAAGAGATTTTGTCAGCGATTTATTCTTTTTAATTAATTACCATTGCTCATGACGTTTGTCAAAGTTGCATTTTTTGTACATAAGTAATTGTTAATTTTTCAATAAAAATCAGTACTAATCCAACAATGGTTCTTACTTCCCAGTTACTAACCTTCCCGGGTGTACTAACCTAACCTACAAACAACAAACTACCAAATGTTCTGAACATCCTCCTAAATTCCAATATCAGGAATTTACATTGGTCCTTCGAGCAAAAAGAAGATAAAGGTTGAAAACCAGCCCTTCCCAACAGTTCTCCCTTCATTCCTATTATTTAATCTACACACATACACTCATGCGCTTCGAGGTGAACGTTTAGACACCGGTCTAATCACCCACACAAAAATACCTAAATCCCTCCCTGGTTGTAGCCTCGACAGAACAGAAAAAAGAAATCGGTTCAGATACCAGTAGATAGCAGCAAAAAAGGAGACAAAAAATAGCAGATTCTGAAGTCAAAGTAATAAGAAGGAGCCAGGACATACCTACACAAAGAGGAGAAAAAAGAACACATAACCAAAAGCAATAGGCAACACCCAAAATGGAAGAAGCACAAGAAACCTTGGGTAAAAATATAAAAACCCTATTTTCCAATTACAAAAAGGATACAATATTTTCTCAAACAAACTGCCGAGCTTGGGAAAACATTGAAAAAAAAACCATAAACAACTTATAGAGCTTAACATTCCGACGCATTCGTATTTTACAGACGATTATTTTCGTCAACTACAGGAATTATTTCAAGAAATCACAAAACATATTACCGATTCCAAACAAAAGCTTCGCAACCAAACCACCCGCACAACAAGGAGCCTCATATTATTATCCAAACCAGTATCAGGCATCAAAAAATCGTTTGAAAGAAGAGAGTGTGACCCAAAAATGAAAGTTTTAGTGCAAAAAAATCTAAGAATAAATATTTGAACCGCATCTTGCTACCGTTTTCAAGTTAGGGCGGTTTAAAGTTACAACTAGGCGTTTGTGACGTCACACTGGATTATCAGGGACAGTATTAGGACGTGTAAGAATTTTCCAAAACAAAAGACAATTATCTCTCAAAGCGAAGTACAACAACTCAAAGTATAGGGTACGGTTCACTGACGACTGAACGAACATAAGACTGCGATTTCGCCGGTTGTGACATCACAAGCTCCTGCATAATTTATCTTGAAAAGAAATTTTCTCGGAGACTATTTTGAATATAGGACTGCGGTTTTCACGATAGATCTTAGGATTTTTTTCTTGATTTAAGTAGCTTAAGTCATTTTTCAGGGTCACACCCCCTTTAAGGGACATCTCAAACGACCTGATCAGTGAGCAGTCTCGCAACCGTTACCAGTTTCTATTAGAGAAGCTTTTCAAGCAAAGGAACGCTATCACTGAAATATACATCGAGCAGGAAATTGACAGCACTATCAAATACGAAAAAACAGTACAAAACCTCCAGGACAAGATTCAAGGAGTAGAACAAGTTGTGAAACAATGCAATGAAACATTAGGTACCTCAAATCAAACTACTAATTTTTGAAAGCCGATATGAAAAGTGGCTCACATTTCGAGACATTTTCATCAAGGTGGTTCATGAAAATCCAACAATTACGACAATAGAGAAAATGCAGTAGGTATCTTAAAACGCATGTGTGAAAGGAAGCTGGAAGACTGATCCAGCACCTGTCTATAGCAGAAACCAACTATGGCCCTGCTTGAAATATTTTCAATGACAGACACAGCAACAACAGACTTATAGTCTCCCAACTACTAGATCTTAGATCTTCCAGTGATTAATCACGAATCATCATTCGAGATTAAACAGCTTCACGGTACAGTTGTGGAATGTGTTGAAGCCATCAATAATCTAAGTATCGATACTTCCAATTAGGGTCCTAATTATCAGTCGCATCATCTGCAGAAAATGGGATCATGAAACCAACAAGCTTTATGAACAATCGCTAAACAAGCCCCATGAAATACAGGACTTTGT